AAAGAAGTCGGTTACAGTTTGTCGTTAACCTTCACAAAAACTTTGGCTGGGAGTAATAGATTTTGTGAGTTCCATCTTGTGAACTTAATGTTTTTGTAAGGAATTTGATCAGCTTTAACGATTACTAGCATCAAAAGCGATTCCTCCTCACCCACTGCAACAGCTTACTCACCATCTATTCATTACTGCAAATGATACATAGTCCTCCTGAAAATGTCCTTCGGGATGTTTTTCCACATTCAATACAAGTGCATTACCATCCTTTCGAACATCAACCAAGAACATTGTGTCCGTGATATGGTGCTGCAACTCGTGCCATCTGAAACGTAGATGGACCAGACATTCTCACCAATTTTGTTAGGCGTATCGTAATCTATCACTTATTATCATCCTTGACGTAAATCTTCACAGAATTCTCAATGGACTTCTCCGTCGTCACCCATAGTCTGCCACTGCGATGGACTGTTCGTACCAGACATACGGGATGGTTTGGATCGTCGAAAAAAGAATTGGGATGATCTTCTGCTGGAGAAACCCAGGAAATCTGAACATACACAACAAGCTATTGATTTTCACGACATTCGTCGCCCATGCAAAAGTGTACTTCAGAGGTATCCAGATTGGCAGAAACGATAAGGCCAGAAAATTCGTCTTCTTCGAATTCATCAGCCACCGAGTGGAAGCAGTAAAGCATTCGACCCTCTTGCCAAGGCTCACTGCGCGACCAAGGCCCACTGTCGCATTCGATATCTGTGGTGGAGCGCTCATTAGTAACCACTTCCGTCCGCAAATATAGCTCAAAGCTAAAGTTTCTTCCCTACACTGGCATTTAAATTGCCGATTTACCTATATCGGTGTACACTCCAAAAATGGAAGAAAATCGAATGTGAAAAATACAAGAACGGAAGAGATTCAACAGAAGCTTTGCCTGTGCAAGTTCATATTACTCTCATACACTTGCTTAACTGTGACAGAATGGCATCAAAGCAAAATTCCGAGATTCTTTTTTGTTAGCATAGATACGAAACAATTTTATGCTAAACCCTTTTTTCTCGAGAGCAATGTGAGTCAACAAGCTCAAATCCTACTTTATCAACTTCGTTTCCGTGAACCCTCCTAAAATTCAAACTTCAACCTGTTTTCTTGACATTGCATTTTGCATCCATCTCAATCACACTTATTCCGCCATCATATGGAATTACCATGGTCACACCTTTCGCACTGCTAAAATGACTACATTGTCTCCTTGAAATTGACTGAGAAAAGTATAGCTGATAGCTGACCGTGTACTGAATCCAAAGCTACCTCGATGGATTCCAGTAGCACTAGGAGACTTCCCCAAAGACAATTGTGATTGTCCTATGTCGATTTTGTGGTGTGCATGGTCGATAGTAACAGGGTGGAACTAAAATGTATAACTTTGCATTTGAAAATACCCCAAAAAATGAGAAGAAAGATGTATGGTCATTTCCAAAACAATATTTGGAAGCTTCAAGGGGATACTGTAGTCAAGATGTTCGTAAATATCAAGAAATCCATAATGCTGAGGATGTTTCATAATGGAAAATCACCACTCTAAACTTCATCAAATCTAACAATTCTGACTAAGGCTGATTTTAAGCTCACCGAAATGTCCGTTCCGTCGTCCATTACCGCAATCCCGTAGTTTTCTCCTGTCTCATAGAATTCCGCTAGATCGGGTGATGTAGAGCTTTTATAGTAGCTGGAAAATTTGTCAAGAAAATCATAACTTAGTAGCACGATACGATTTGCACTTCAATATCAGAGGGAGAAGTAAATAAATTGGCATGCTTACCTTCGTGTCCCACTCCATAGGTCAAAAACAAGAAGCTTGTTCTGAAGCACGAATGGAGAGTATCCCGTTTGTTTTTCAACAATACAGTATACATACTGATCTCCAGTAGACATGAACCTCCAATTTAAGTCAGTTTGCTCTGAAATACAACAAAAAATATGCCGATAAAAACTGTGGTAGGCTTACCTCCAAACTCCGAGGGGGCATATTTCTTCGAAGAATGTGGATATATGTACTGAATCCACATATTCGATACAAAAGTTGTGCAGTTGATAGAAGATACAGGTTATTGGAGTAGTAAATTGAGGCAATGTTTGCCGTATGACCTACATATCTCATCCTCACGGAACTGACCTGAGAAATTTGCCCTTAGGGAGTGATTATCGCTCACCTTAAGGTAGGTCACCTAACCTGTAGGATAGCAGTAGCAAGTGAAATGAAGTTGAGCAACTGTCTGAAATATCCCCCAATCATGAGTGCGGTTCGGGACCAACTACTCTCAGAAATTTTTAGAATGGAGGGACTAGAAGGAGCGTGTTCATGTTCGGTAATTTACTGAAAAATGTTCAGGAAACGCACCATGTTGGATAGCCATGTTTACCATCCGCTAGCACTTCAGAATGAATGTGACAGAATATGTTTTGTCAGAGACCCCATTCTTAGTAGTCATTTCTGAGCTGCTTCACAAATTTCTCTTCTGCAGTACTTGAGAAATAGTACAGAACCTGCCCTATAATAAGTAGTGCTAACCCTCACCTCTCTCCTAAACTTCCCTTAGAAAACTGCCTTTGTTGTCCCTGAATTGTGGACAGATGCAAGAATTTCTATTTGATGTATTCCAAGTAACCCAATGTTGTACGAAGAGTCCTAAAGATTTCTATAATATATTAGGATAGTGCAATTTTTTTCTCGTTTTTTGTAACTTTGATTGGTCAGAAAACTTCATGAAATGCAACATTTAAGTGCTTGATATTATGGACTTTTTACTACACCAAATGTATTTTCGACTTGTTTTTATAAGCAATCTTTAGGCTAGCTACAAAAGATTCGCTAGCATAATTTCTAGACAGTACTCTCCTCTCTTGAAGGAACAGCATGAATTCTAGGCTTCTTGGATATAACTAAGTGCTAATCCAATGTTCGAGCTATTGCTGGAGACAGCAAATTCTCTCGGTTTAATCCAGAGTTTTTGTAAATATATTTTAAAAATTCCAATAATC